GCCGCCTTCAAAGAAGCGCCACTCTGTGCAACCTCACTTGTTTTAATCAGCGCGTGACAAGACAAACCGAACCCCACTTCTCCTCTTTAATAAGCCCTGTCCCACGCGCGCTCACTGCAAAAGACACACACACACACGCACACACATGCACGACCAAAGCCAATGACGGTGGGCGTGGGCAGAACAGCATTGCGACCGAGGGGCGGCGACGTCGTCGGCGGCGGCCACTTCCAAACGCACAGCGCTGCTGCTGGAGTCATGCCCGCTAATCTGGCTGCATCCCCCGGCCCAGGGATAAGTAATAATGATTCTTCCCCAGCCGAGGGCGAGAGGGGGACCAGGGAATGGGGAGGGGAGTGGGCTGGGCACTGCGGCTGCAAAGCAAACCGATACTGCGGTGGTGGTAGGGGCCTAACTGCCAACATCTGGTGGAGTGAGCCGAGCAGCAGCGGCCATGCTTTCTTCTTTCATTATGTTTGTGCCTTGCGCTGTGCCCGCTGCCGCCGCCGCACGTGCGGGGCGCGGCTGTGATGCAGGGGACCATGACCGCGGCCAGGACCGCAGCCAGTTAGACGGCGGCGCCCGCCCGCCGGACCCGCCCGCCCCGCGGGGCGCCCTCCGCAAGGCCCTGCGCCGCCCTCGGATAGTTGAAATTGTTACGATAGCGTCGTCTTGGGATTCGAAATTGGCTCGAAATTTTAATTCGAAGTGCGTAATCTCTATGTGAATACGCGACCATTTTTCACCCTTCCCGACTTTGTCGTTTTCTGTTGGGTTCCCCTCTGAAGGCAGGAAGCCTGCGCGGGCGTTTTGTACAACTTACTGTCCGCGCTACCGGACCGGGCGGCGGCGGCGGAACCCAACAACAAGAACAACTCCGACTCCGGCCGGCAACACTGCGGAACATGTCGTCCTCCGAACATGGAGATGTCTCGCTCCTGATGAGGGAGGCAGGCGGGCGAGCGCGCTCCGGGCCGGACGGGAGGCGAAGAGGCGCGGGGCGCGCGGGGCAGGACGGGAGCGAGCGAGGCGCGCATGCAAACTGCTGCTGCTGCTGCTGCTGCTGCTGCTGCTGCTGCTGCTGCTGCTGCTGCTGCTGCCCTGCCACTATTGTTGCTGCATGCCTGCCTGCCGCGCGGACTCCGGTACGTGGAAAGGGTGCAGCAGCCGCAAATAAACCAAACACGCTCTCTCGCTCTCCCTCTCTCTCGCACGCGCTCTCTCGCTCACGGCAGAGGCGCGAGCGGCGTTCCTGCCCGCAAACTGACCGGAAGAGCGCTCGCATAAATTCCCTCGCGGAGTCTTCCAACTGCATTAACGGGAGGCTCGCGGCGGCGGCGGCGCCCAGCGCACCGAGAGGAGGAGCGCCAGATATGTAACATGTTTCCTCCCCTCCCCCCCTTTCTTTGCTTCCATTTTTTTTTTGTCGATTCATTTAACCAGCCTGTTGCCTCGCCGCGCGCGTGCATCCTCATTGACTTCAGAAACGAGTCAATAACTCTGCGCGGGGTGCGAGTTGCCTTTTCTCTCTCACTGTACGTATGTCTCTGTTTCGCTTACTCCAACGAGAAACGTTGTCCGTCTCTTATCTGGCGCCACGAGAAGGGCCTTAGCATTGTCATTAGCAGCCAAAGAGTTGCGTTTCTAAATGTTTCTTTTTTTGTTTGAAATATCCCGCTAGAAAGTATGAACGACGCATAGCCACGGGCTCTCGCGGCTCGTGACTCCGGGCGATGATATCTATCTCTCAAACGAATCGAGGAGGCCGACGAAAAAGCGGGAGAAAAATGGAGATACGGTATTATCGAGATGTGCCACTTGCGGCTGTCGTAGGCGACGACGTGCAGAGCGCGAGCAAGGCGGAGAGCTTCGACATTTATATTCAAATCCCGATATGAATACGGGATGAGGCTCAACCGGCGGCCCCGCCCGTGACACGATAGAGAGCGAGAGAGAAAGAGAGAGGCATAGTCCTGGAGCGTAGTGTACTCCGCGCGCTCAAGTTCAAGTTCACGACAAGTGAGCGGAGCGCGAGGGCCGCGAGGGCCGCGAGCGGCGCGGCGCGGTGGGGATCTCGTCGGGAAACCAGTCTCTCTACCCCGGCAGAATGTCATTGACTGACGCCCCGCCCCACCACGCCGCACCACGCCCCGCACCGCCCCGGGCCTAGAGACTGGGCTGGACCGGACGGTCAGAATGCATGGCTGCAGACTTATGGCAGCATTCCGTTAGAGCAAGCGTCTCAAACGCGTCACGAAAACATTTTCATGCCGTGGTGTTGTGTTTGTGTAAATAAAAAGCATGAGCGCGGTTGATTTACGTCAAAGTATATAACCACTCCAGCGCAGTGAGGGCCGCGTGTTGTGCAATAACAAAAGTAAACGATAACCGTCATGAAGAATTTTACAAACTTGAGAATTTTACTTTCTGCGTTATATTATCAAGGGGCGAACTTTCATGTTTCAGTAAAAACTCACTCCAATATTATTTCTTAGAAATGTGTTTTTTGCTTTTGTTTTAAATTTGCCGAGCCGAGAGCCTCCTGTGGTGGTGGGACGTTACCGTTAATCTGGAGTCCGTGCCGACTCACCTCACCGAGCGCTGCAACAGCAGCGCCTTCGCTTAATTAGACTCCCATGGGTTGGCGTATACTGGACAGTACCTTCGCTCAAAGTGCAGAATATTCTCTAATACTTTGCGCCTGGTACGTACCACTCTGCTGTCCTACGGGTAGGGCTCCGGGGGCTCCGGCCGGCGGCGCCCGAGCGCTGCCCGTGCGCGCCGTCAGAGCGCGCCGGCGCCGCGGCGGAAGGACACGCCAAACAAGACCCCACCGCGCGCGGTTCCGCCGCGGTACCCGGCCGGGCCGGGCTGGCGAGTCTTAACGGTTCCTCCTTGTAACTTATACGTGGTCACCGGTGCGGCGCGCGGCAGCGGCGGCGGCGGCGCGGGGTGGCGTGCGAACCGCGGCCGCGTCCGCCCGCCTCGCGCTTCCCCGCCCTGGTACTGTAGTAGGCTTCCCGCCACTCTCGCACGCGGCCCGCCCCGCCGCGGCCGCGGTCCGGTCGGCGCGCAGGAGAAGGGGGCGGCGCCGGCCCGCCATACATACCCCAGCATCCTCCGAGTCATACTTCCAGGGCAGATGTCGCCGCAGTGTCCGGCGGGGCAGGGCGGGCCTCGCCGAGCGGACGCTATGCGCTTTAGTTTGCAGTGCATTGTACTTGCTGCACCGCCCTGTACTTTCTCTGGGGCGCTGGCGCGAGGTGAGGTGAGGCGGGCATGACCCCGGCGCATCGCATGGCGTGCGTACCGAGGCCGGGCGGCGGGTCGGCCCTTTGCTTTGCACTGGGCCCAGCGCGCCTCACCCAACCCGGCCGGAATAACACGTTCTCCGCGCGCCGGTTTTCCGCATCTTCCTCTCTATTCTCATCTCTCTCTCTCTTTGTGTGTCTTTCTCACTCACTCGCACCTGGGGCCGCTCGCCCATATCTGGCTGGCCCACGGGCCAGCTGCGAACCGCAG